TTCGGGCACATGCTTGTGAAAACGATGTGGAACTCCGAAAGATGTTTATTCGGATCCTCTCCTCTTAGCCCGTGGAAAGATGGAAGTAGATGTATGAGTCCAGATTTCAACTCAAATGTAGCACCCGCATCAAGAGTTGAGAAGGTGATACATAAGGGTTGTTGGTTTAGATTGGGAGCTGTGAGCTCCCTCAGCGTTCTTGTTTCAAGAGCCATAGTTATTGGCTCTTCAGACTCGCTAGAATGAGAACTAGCACTTGAGGATTCTCCCGAGTCGGTATTTGAGAATTTGTTTTTCAACCGCTCGAGAGCTTGTTCTATTTCAGGGTTTGTTTGGTAGGTGAGTTGGTTTATGCATCGGGTTCTTACCATATACTCAAACAAAGCTCAGCAAAATAGAAATATTTATATATATATATATATATATATATATATATATATATATATATATCTAGAAATAAAATAAAAAGAAAAATTAATTGCCTTTCCCCGGCAACGGCGCCAAATTTGACGAGCACTTTGTCACGGTGCGTCAAAATAAATCGATACTAACACTTATACTTCTTTTTAATTTAAGAAGTAAGTAAGGGGGGGGGGGGGGGGGATTTGGATTGAATGATATAATTTAATTAACACTAAGATTAACGACTTATATGAGATTTAATTCAAAGATAAAAAGGACTTGGTCTTGCTACTTTCCATTTGTTGATATATTTTAGTCGATCATTGTTATATCTATAACTTATCCTCTCTCGAATACTCAATCGAGGAGTATCTCCAATTCATCGAGGGTAGTTATTAACAACGACCATTCATTAATAATCCTTACTATTAATCAAATATAGAACAACGTCGTATACCGATTTAATAGTAGCATTTAATCTCCTTGATGAAATCAATTGAGATTGATAACCTCAACACAACGGTTTTGGTTTAACCAACAAAATTAATCCCTCTTAAGTTTATTAATCACGACCGTGCATTAATAAACCGAAATTACTTACTTTTGAAACCATCAACGATTAACCATCGGTTCATTGATCGTTTCTAGTAGTATTTAATGTCGGAACTTTAACTAATCATCACTTAGCAACCCTCCAACATTAATATAGAATGAGATTAAGGGAAGAATTAATAATCAAGAGAAGAAGTTAATAAAATAACTCACAACTTTAATAATCAACAAGCTTCAAGAGCAAAACCAAGAAATGGAAGTTTAGCTCCTCATTTGGAGACTAAACATAGCTAGAAAAATAATAAAGGAATGCTATTCTAAACTGAGCTTAAGAGTATATGTGAATTGGTGATCTAATTGTGAAGGGAAGGGGGTGTATTTATAGGCTTTTGGGGATGCAGCTCGGGTACCCGATCGGGTATATACACGGTACCCGACCGGGTATGTGTAATACTTCAAATTCGAGGTATACTCGATCGATTAAGGGGTAAATCATATAAGCATACCCGATCGGGTGTGTTCTTGTACCCGATCGAGTATGTGTAAAACCTCAGATCCGAGGTATACTAGATCGATTTCAGGCTTAGTTTTGAAAGGATACCCGATCGGGTGTGTCGGTGTACCTGATCAGGTATAGACATTCGATCGTGGTCCAAATCTTCTATGCATGTTCCTTTGTCTTCGGATCCGATTTGATTTGAGATTTCAACAAGATACCCGATCGAGTATAGGTCATACCCGACCGGGTATAGACCAAAAATCAGGATCTTTATTTCATCTTGTGATTTTGCACCTTCCTTCCACTCTTGGGGTTCACTAACTGTTCTTTTAGTTATCATGGACCTGTTTGAGTTCAGAATAAACCTAATCTAAACAATTTACAAGTATTTTAACAAACTAAACTATCACACCAAAAGTGTGTAAATTCCAAAGTAACAATCAATATAAACTAATAAAAACATAAACATAAACATGGAAGTTATATGTTTATCACTTTTATTTATAAGTTTTCTAAGCAGCGCTCTCGAAGTTCTTTATTCGTCATATTCATCACCTGAAAATTTCCACAGAGAAAAAAGAAAACAAAAAGAAACTAAAATTAGCTTTCGCTAAGTAAGATTCCACCCAACCCCGTAAAATATAGTTTGGAGAAAATATACATTTTTGTATGTAGATTGAAATATCATATGTTTGAATATTTTAACTTCAATAATTGTCATAATAACAAATAGAGCATTCAAAAATTAATTCAAACGACTTACGACATATATGCACAGTTGGAAAATACTATTATCGTATATAATGAATAGAAATTGTATATTTGGTTTTTCTCCGAAATTTCTAAAGTTTCTTTTAAAGATGGACGAAACTCAAGATTCATTGAGCCTAATGAGTTGTTGTTATTTACAACTCATCCCGGAATTCTAGCTCCCACCAACCACCTGTTGAAGCTGAACTTCTACCTTAAATGTGCACACCCCCTAAAAAGGGATTCCAAGCCCTTCGGGTAGTAAGAAGCTCAAGTAGCCCAAGTAGTATATACCAGCTACTCATCAATGGGATATATGCTCCCTAAGTGACTAGAAAACTACTACTGCGACCATCCAAGGATCTTTAAATTTCTCACAAAAATACTGGAATGTCTACCGAGTATTAACCTTTATATAATTCACAATAGTAACTGTTGGTCCAAAATAGGACGCTCGTAGGCTTTTAGGAAAGCTACGTACGACACTCAAGCAGGAATTAGGAAAGTAAGAATATGGAAAGTTGTAAAGGGAATTTGGTAGCCAGAAATAGCATGTGAAATTCGTCTCCCATAATCCGAATTACAACCCGCCTTTTATAGGCGTATACAAATCGTAACCACTACTGATCATAATGACAAATTAATTACAACATTAATACGGAATTAAATACATAATTAATAGTGCATTAATTGTTTGACCGTTACTCTTACGGGCTAGGAGGTCGGCCGGACTGGCAGGCTCCCCGCTGGGCTGGCAGGCAGGCTCCAGGTTGTGGACTTGGATCCACGTGTCCAAGTTCAGAGCTTGGGCTGATTAGGCTCTGGGCCTAGTCCCATTACTCCATCACGAGTCCCCCACTACCTTAGTCGAGTAGTAGACTTGGCTAAGAGGGAGTAGTCCAAGTCAGTTGCTCTTCTCCGAGACTAGAAGATCCCTGCCCTTGTCCATGTTGGGGAGATGCCTCATTAAAAACCTTCATTAGGAAAAAATCCGATGAGAAAAAATTCTAATGAAGGGAAAAAGAGTACATCTGACGCCCCCAAGATGAAGCAAGAGGTGAGATCCTCAGCCTTTAATGCAATGGTCGCCATCTGCGAATAGGATGGCTAGAATTGTTCTTCTCGTCGGGCTCAGACTCGTAAGGTTCATCATTTGCTTCCTTGAAGACGGTAAGACCCTCAGTCCCCCATTTCATTCGGTTGTACCTACACATAAAAGAAACTAGTGTAGAATAGAGCATCTGGCCTAGTGTGGAACCACGGTTCAGTGTGTAAGTGAGTCAGACTCACTACTTGAAAAAGAGTGACATCAAGTTCCCAAGTTAGGCCTCAACCCAGTCTTCGAAAGAAAGATTGAATCCGCGAGTAAGTGAGTCGGACTCCTCACTCGAATGGATAATCTAACCCCAAAGAACTAAAGTATATCAACCTTTTCGAGAAATGTGAATGTCAATTAAGTGACAAAATTGCTCGGAAGAGCGTGGCTCTAGGCCCCTAACAAGAGTTTAACTCGCCGCCCGAGGTTAGTAGTTCGAACCCGCTAGTAAAAACTTTTGAACGGTGACTCGTCCCACGAGGTCGGAGTGTGATGCACTATGAAGGGGTAAGGGCACACGAGAACTCGTATGAAGTCAAGAGTGTGCGGTATTAACATTTATATTGGAGCTTATTAGTCGTCACACTCGTATGACGTGACCCGGTGGCGCGAGTGTGTGTGCTCGGCCAGTGTACGAGTGTGTGTGCTCGTCCGGCGTACTTGAGTGATAAGATTTCATTAGTCCGTTATTCAATGTTAAAATTACACACACTTAACAAGAGTAAACACAATCATATCACTTAAAATATCTTTTCAAATGTTTCAATCTATGATTTTTTTTTAAAATCTTTTTGTTAAATAACCGTAGGAGAGATTTTTAGCACTTATCTTGTGGTCGAGTTCGCTCAAATTTTTTGAGACAAGAGCATTAGATTGGTTGACCTCTACGACATCACCTTCAGATGTGCTAAATTTTTTTGGACTGAAAGCTTTGTGAGGCGCTAGGAGAATGGGAATTGGACCAGGGATCCAGAGCAGTGCTGGTGTGATCTCAACAATGACTCTCCAGTGTTAGAGGCGAAATCAGGTGCAGCATTCGGTGCATTGTCGTCCTGGATGGTGAGAACAACTTTCGTTCAATTGAAATTCTAGATTCTTATGTTTTGTTCATCTTTTTTGAGATTTCGAGAACAATCTTTCTGGCATTCTTTGTGATTCCTACTAAAGTGATCTGAGAGACAATAACAGCTCTCAATGAAAGCACCAATGTTGGTCCAAAAAAGGACGCTCGTAGGCTTTTAGGAAAGCTACGTACGACACTCAAGCAGGAATTAGGAAAGCAAGAACGAGAATGGAAAGTAGCTAGGAGATTTAGTTGAGAGAAATAGCATTTCAAAATTGCTTCCTCTAATCTGAATTACATCCCGCCTTTTATAGGCGTATACAAATCGTAACTGCTACCGATAATAATGACTAATTAATTACAACATTAATACGGAATTAAATACATAATTAATAGCGCATTAATTACTTGACCGTTACTCTTCCGGTTATGGACTTGGATTCACGGGTCCAAGTTCGGGGCTTGGGCTGATTAGGTTCTGGGCCTAGTCCCATTACTCCATCAGTAACGAATCAACCAAAATGCAGTAGTAGCCCCTAACCCCCCCCCCCCCCCCCCCTCCCCCCTCCCTTCACAATTACCGATCGTGAAGGAGACCGACACCACGGATTTCTCTCGTGATGCCCACAATTATCAAAAATAATTTTTTATCTTTAATATTTTCCAAAATCCAATATCTATTATACATTGATAAAATTCCAACATTTCAAGAATAAGGATATTCTATCCTTAAAGCCAAATTTCTCAAAATAGCTCAAAATATAACGTACTATGTAAATAGCTCAAAATACGAAATATAACATAAATAGCTCAAGCCCAAATAACATTTACAATCACATTTCATAATTCAAATACTCATAATTTAATTTGATACCACATACTCAAATAAATACAAGTAACACTCACACATAGATTTACGAGGTAAAAATACAATTTTGGTTGACATGGAATTGACTTGCTTACTGTTTAAGAAAATAACTTTAAATAATAGGAAGTAATAACAATGACCTATAAACACCATAATAAAAATAATAACCTATAAACTGGTATTAACATATACTTTAAAAATAACTTTTAATAATATTTTTTATTTGGGCTTTTTCCGTTAATATTACTAAACAAAAGCTGATTTCCCAAAATATGATCATATTTTTAATTGGATAAAAATGTAACTAAGATGGTTATATATTAGGAATGATATAAAGTGACTTTTAAATAGATTTGTCACTATCCAATTTTCATGTCACTGTCGGGTGTCACTGTTGCCGTCTATGTCACTGCTGCCGCCGCCACGCATGTCACTACCACCACCGTCTGTGTCATTGTCGTCGCCCATGTCACTGTCACCGCCCGTGTCACTGCCGCCGGCCACAGTGATATCTCCGCGGTGACATTTTCGTAGTGACATCTCCGCCCCAACCTCCGACCACAATGACATTTCTGCCATCCGGCCACCACCGTCCGGTCACCATCATCAAGGACCACTGTGACACGTCATCTCTGGTGTATCCAGCCCCGTCCTTCCGCTACTCCTCACAGCCCCCTCATCCCCGTCCCAAGCCTATCATGACCATCACCGCACACCACCACCGCTGACCATCACCGTGGACCGCGGCCACCAACCGCCGCCCCGCAACATCCCGGATGTCGTCATCTCCCCCCCTCCCCAGATCCCTTTTGTGCAAAGGTTTTCATGTGAACACCCAAAAAATTAAAAATAAAATGTTAAAATATACATATAGAATTGATGTAATAATTTATATGGTGTATTTTTTGATAATATATCTTGCATTTGATCTTACTTTCCATTTTGTTGTTGTTGAAAAAGTAATATATATTCATTTGTTGGATCAAAAAATATTATTTGTTCAACATTTTGACTGACAAATTAATTTTGAACACCCAACTTTTGAATGCAAGATCCGCCACTGACCAGCCCTCCCTCCCCTCGCACCAGCCCCCTGCGCACCAGCCCCCATGTCGTAGCTTCCAGCCTCGCCCAAGCCATTTCCCTACCCCTACCGCACCACAGTCACCCAGGAAAAAAGTGAAATCCTTCAAATTCGATCTGAAATCCGGATTCTAAAGGCTTCGAGGTGGAGCGTCGGCTGGATGGAGAGGATATAGCGACGAGGTGAAGCATCGGTTCGATGGAGAGGCGAGGCTGTAGCCGGTACGATCTGGAAGCGGTGGGGGTGTGATGGCCGACTGCGACGGTGTGATTGGAGACTTCGGAGCTGCGATAGCTGACTGCGGAGGGGCGATGGCCGACTGCGTAGCTCGGGAGAAGAAAGATGACCCTAGGATGGAGATTGGAGAAGAAGTATTCGCTTGTCTCATGGTTTTGCGATGGAGAAGAAGTATCCGCTGGGTCTTACGGAGTATTAGGAGTATTTTTTAATTGCAGGTAGATCACTTTTTTGGAAATACAATAAAAGGAAAAATTGATTGTAATGATCTCAACTATTGGCGGTCCGCTCATAATACTCTTAATTTTAGGGACTTTCTGTCAATAATGGTCCAACATGACCGACTATAAATAAATTCTTATAGCTTCTAAAAAGATATAGCAGGTAATCCCTATAAATAATCCCAAATTTTAATTTTTACGCTTAATTTCTATTAAAAATTCACAGGTTAGAGCAGGTAATATGCGGTCATGGACCATTATTGGCGGACGGTCCATATAGTTGATATTATACAAAAATAATCAATAGTTAGGATTATTATTAGCGGACCAGCAATAGTTGGGATAATTATTTTCAATTTTTCCTACATAAAATGGTACTCCGTAATATATTTGGAAATGGAAACTTAGGGAGTAATATTAGTGTCATTGTTTCTTTTTATTTTAGTAATTAAATAACGAGAGTCATTCCGTTTTGAGATAACTTCAATGTCAATTTTGTGTGATAATTGGCTCTATTTGTATTTAAAAAATGCCGTCCTTAATATCTTTCAATAGACACTGTATAATACTTTGAATGAATGTAAACCGGTATGAATCGAATGAAACGATTCTTGCATATATAAAAAACATTGTCACGGATTTTTTCACGGATTTTGTCACGTATTATTTCATGACAACCACTATTCGTACAACATTAACTCAGTGACTGTTGGAGGTGACAATTATTGAGATTTGTCACGGATTTTGTCCGTGACTAAGCGCCGGACCAAAAAAACCTCGTCAGCGTATGTTTCCGGTCACCGGAAGTCTATTGTCACGGACGTTGTCACGGAAATAATCCGTGACAACCGTACGTATGTCACGGATTTGATCCGCGAGAAAGGTTTTTCGTGATCATAGAGATAAATCCGTGACAAACTTATCACGGACCGGATATGTGACAAAAGTCCGTGACAAAAATGTTGTTTTCTTGTAGTGTACTACTTAACCCAAACAAACACTTTAATTCATAAAAGAGGTATTTACCTAAATGGGAGTAAATTAATCATTAATTGTCAAAATAGGATTAAAGTCTAAAATTTCCCCAAATAGGAGTTATTATTTGTAATTGGACAAAAACACCCCCGAAGCTTGAAGCCATACCGCCGCCAACCAGCACGTCGGACCACCGCCGGTCGCCTACGTTCGCCGGACATCTCCGCCACCTCAAAACCGGCCGCCAATATATATCTGACCGTTGCGGTTTCCGCCGCTGCAAATATGGCGGACGCCGCCGGAGATCTGGTCGGATCTAACCTCCGCTGGCCGCCATCCGCCGCCCTTGTAGATCCGGCCACCGTCGCAACTAATTCAGAATCTGCCATTGTAAATCTGGCCTTTATCATTTCAGATCTGGTCGTTCCCGACACGAATGCCAACTTTTTTATCAAAATGTCATTTTAATGGCACTTTTAAAGAAAAATGCAAAAATTTTGTAGAATAAGAATGCCATTTTGATGGCATTTTGAGATTGAACTTGGCATTTTTTTATCAATCAAAGAAGAATTGTCTCTGCAACGAAATAGAAGAGGGAGAGAACTAGAAGAGACGAGAGAAAGGACGGGGAGAACAACCAAAGAAGAGAACATACCTTCGAAGAAGAGAAGATCTCCGACGGCGATGGAGGCGACGGCGGCGGACTTCGCGTCAGCGGCGGCGATGACTATGACTGGGTAGCGGCGGAGGACTTCACGTCAGCGGCGGCGGGCTCGAAGGTGTGATTGTTCCAGTGCGAAGGGGAAGGAAGAAAAAGCTGTGTGCGGCGTAGGGGAGAAGATGCGCAGGGGAAGAAAAGAAAGATGTGCGGGGGAGAAGAAACGTAGGGGAAAGAGGGGAAAGAGAAATAATAAGGGTAAATTGGTAATTCAATCCTATTTAGGGGGAAAAATATGCTTAGTCGTATTTAAGAATTTAAAGAAGAATTTAGTCCCATTTAGGGCAATAAATCTTCATAAAAATCACACATCTTATACAGACATGACTCGATAGAAAAAAAAAAGAAACAATCTTTGACCTAGTTAGAGTTAATCTAGCACAATGCAAAGATATAGATGAGGTTAATTAAGATTTAAGAGTAGTTTAAGAATTAAGGACACTTGGGCCCTCCCCTCTTTGTCTTCCAATTGTTATAGCAAGGGCAGAATCGCTTGTTTCCATAGGTTCCAGGGGGGACGCACAAACACTTGGCGCAACACTTCTGGCAGAACATGCATGGCTTCTTGTACTGCGTATTTGAGCATCTGTAACTGCATTTCCCCGAACACTCTTCACGGAGTATTATTGTAGACTTTCATATAAATATTACCAACTTTATAAGACGAGCAAAAGACGAGCAAAATACAGTTAGGAAAGTAACTTCATCTTACTATTTCTTTTAATTACAAAATTTAGCGCGCGAAATAAAAAATTACGTGTTTGGTAAAAAAGTTCGTTGGTTGATAAACCTGATAAGCCGAAAAATGGGGTCACCAAACTGGGCTCTAACCCTGATAAATGATTTTTTGAGGTCGATGCTTTTCTCCGACCGTCCCATAGTTTTTGTTATGTTTAAATGATAAAAGAAATTAGAGAGTAATTAACAATAATTCGGTTGAAATTTGCAAGAGAAATTAACAGGAAATGAAACATGAACAGTCAAACAAGTGATGCTTTAAGTAATACTCGTACTTAATAATGAAGTTATACTATGTTACGAGTTACCTTGGGGATGGAGGCTACCAGGTTTTGAGCCATACTGTGGCATACAAAAAGAAGAAGATTCTGAATAAGCTTAACAATGCATGATAAATTTGACTTATAGCACAATCATATCGGGAAATTAAGAAGAAGAAACCTAATTAATTAAAGATATACATACAAAGGGAAATCTCTTCTCACCATATAGAAACTGGGCGCAGATGGTTGAGGAGCAGGAGATTCTGAGATTATTGTCTTCTGATGATTGAAAAATGTGTAGGAAGGTAGTAGTGAATTAGAAAACTCACCAAATAGATATATGCAAAACTTTAAGATTGAAATTGCACCTTATAAATATATCAAAATTGGAGAATATAATGGCGCCAAATTTCTAAATCTTTTAAATTGGAAAGTTGAAACCCAACTTGCGAGAAGTGGGTAAATTAGCTCTTTGCTACCCGGTAAGCTTCTATAATTAGCTTAATTAATAGTGACTCTACTATCCCATTCTTTGATTTTCTTGATAAAAAATGTTAAAAGTTTGACTTTCACCCAAATATATTGACTAAAATATTGTTCAAAGTCTGTCACGGTGAATCAAGAACACAAAAAATGATAAACTTTTGTGAGGCTGGTACGGTCAGTATAAAATTCAAAGAAACTAAAGTAATGAATGGGAACTAATCAAGTTATTAAATTATTATCACATGGTTTAAAGAAGGAATAACATTTTCTAAGGCAACTAATTAAGAAGGGTCCGAATTATGAGGCATCATTATGGAATTGAAAAGTAAGAATGACTAATATAATCACATAGCACCGACATGGCACTTCAATAGCTGGGATAACATCATGAGTATGAGAAAGACCGGTCCAAGGTAATGCCTCACAGTTTCCATATGGAGAATCAGAGTCTTTGAAGAAGAGGATGAGAGAGTGTTGAATACGATGTTGTTAGGAACTCAGGAATGAATGAATGGTGAGAGAGAAAGAAATTGATGTTTATGACTTTATTTGTATTGGATGTACTATACGTATGGTTCCTACTTCCTAATATATGATTGAAGTTAGGGAATAAAAATATGATTTAATAATTATGTTTATAATTGCATCACAGTGAATACAAAGGTATACATATAATTATTAGAACGTAAACTTTTAAACACAATTATAATCATTAAGAATTAATAAGTCACAATTTTTTAGTTCATATTGTTTTCATTTTTTAGGAAAAGCCTCTTAAATGTTATAGTGGAATAAGAAAAAAACATGCGGAGTACATAATACTTCTAGGTAGTATTAAATTATATGTCAAAAACAAATATATATACACACATATCACATTTTCAATTTCTTTAGAAACAAATGCACATAAATGATAAAGTTGGAACATACTCCATCATACCTTTAAAAATGATGTAATGGTTTTAAATCAATAACGGACAACAACATCAAATATTGATGAAATTATAATGTATGAAAAGTGAAAAGAGAGTATAAGTAAATGATAAATAGTTTAAAAAGTGTAGGTGTTAATGTTTACCATCGTCCAAGAGTACACAAAATGTAAACATTATATAATCAAAGAATCTTATAGCAGTTTACTATCCTCGGGCTTTTGGGTATTTCTTTAACGCATCTGTCCTTCACTTCAGTTCTTTTTTTTAATTCTTAGTTTTTGAATGATTATCAATCACTCGATGCACATGACGAAAGTTATTGTACTTGAGTTTCATAAATAAAACATGTCTTGAAAACATGACATTATTGTGCTGATATCTCAAAACAATATTGTATAAGTCTAATTTATTAATGTAATACCAAAAAAAAATATGATAATATAAATATTGTTCCAATGTAAATATTTTTTAAGAATGTAATTGATATATTTTTCAAATATTTTTGGGATCATTTTAACACTTTTAAAAAACCTGCATAGTATAACTTTAGGCTGCTCAGCCCATCCGAATTCGGATAAACCCTGCCCAACAACCAATTTTTAATCTCCCAACCCACAACCCAAATATCGTATTTATACGTCGTATTACATTAAATTAAATACCCGAATGCCAAACCCTAACTCATGGTATTTAAACGCTTTATCTGGAGAGCCACCATTTTTTGTACGCTCATGGTATTTAACCTGCGGAGAGACATCGGTTAATACGATGCTCTCCGCCTCTCTTTTTCTACATTCCATGCCAAGTTCAATCTACCTACAATCCTTCGCCCTCAATCGACCAGCCTTATTCTTCGATCGTGTCTAAGTCCGGATTACTCAATTGACCCCAGGGTTGTTTATGTAGTTGGTCCACCGGCAAGCTCGTTCTGATCTTGGGCGGGCGGCAAACCGGAGACGGGCGACCACGGTCCTGATAGAAGAGTCTCTGTAAACAATTGCATGTTGAACTCTTTGGATTTCCTATTTTCTGTCTCATCTTAATCTGATTATCCGCTTGGTGGTGGATGAACCGGAACCTCCAACGAAGGCCTAGCCGTTCTTGTATACACCAGTGTATTCGTGTGGTATCCCGACCCTAGCTAGCAATATTGATTGGTATACTTTGAACTCTATTTGGGTATTATGCATAAATTAAAATACATGACATTCATCTTTTTGTGAATGATGGTTTTGGGTTGCATGTCACTATGTCAGATGTGTTCATTACTTGTTTGATATATAACATCCAAGTTGAAACGTTTTATTTTATTTTTTTTTTTTGAAAAAATTAGATATTTTGAAAAAAATCTGGTCTTCTTTGAAAATTACAAACAAATTTGTTGAAAGTTTTTACCATAGGAGTACGTAGTAAAACCGATTTTTTTAAAAACCCAACTTTTAAAATCTGTATCTATAATACTGTTATGATTAGTTAGTATATATATGTCGCCATGTGAAATATATATCACTGTTTACTTATATATATACTCAAAATATTACAAATATGGTCGGAAGGGTAATTATGCTTCGCATAAGTGATACATGCATACTCGTATTTCCTGAAAATGAGATATGGAGTATCTCCTATGTCACACATCCTACTGAATACTGGATTTTAAAAGCATGAATATTTTTCTTTTAATAAAATTATAAACTTTTTAAGCCTATAAAGGTAATTAACTCACACTCGATTTTATATAAATGGAATTATACTATTAAATCAAATTAATTTTGTAACTTTGTTCACAAAATCCATTTATAAATAATTTGTTTTCATTAACACCCACGCACATATACATATGTACTTTTTTCCAATATAAATACACATTCATATGCATATGAACTATTATATAAACTATTTCCAATATATATCTCCATATATATATATATATATATATATATATATATATATATATATAATTACATCTATACATTATTTTTGGTATTTATTCTTGTAAAGTTGAGTAATAGTATGAATAATTATATAATTTGACAGTTTTCCAATATAGTATTTATAATCCGTTTTCAATTATATATATGTGTATATATAAAAAAAAATATATACATATACCAAGTATAGTACAAATTCTATATCTATACCATATTCATATACCCAATATTTTTTCCAACACACACGTATTGAATAGTCTTAACTCTTAAGTCATATGTTTTCATTTGGTTAATCTATTTAATAATGTATCAAGATATAGACACACAAAGTATTTGTATACTAAACATAATTGTGTTTGTCTTCAATTGTAAACTCTACCATTTCATTTGAAAAGCCTTGTTATACTCAATTTTTACTATGAGTCAATTTAAACTGTTTAGAGCATGGTTTTGATCAATCCCATACTACTAGAACAATGAACTATACACGCCCTTCTGTGTAATGGTTATTCTAGAAATCTAGCCACAAATGTATAAACTATACGAAATTACACCATGGTATGGACCGGTTATTCTTGACCCTAACAGAGCTTGCTGGGCATAAAAAAAACCAACCCCATATATCGTGTTTCAAAATTCCATTGAAAAATAATTGTTTTCCATAAACACACACTGCTACAATATTGAACTATACATGTCCTACTAAATGGTGATTCTAGCCCGAACTATACCAAATTACACCCTGGTCTGAACTGGTTTTTATGAAAACTTAAAGCCCTTCTCAAGCCAATGGTCTGAACTAAGAAGTCCATGGTATTCTTAGCTATTCACGGTGGATATTTTATATAAAATGCTTCACCATTTCCATAAGTTTGCTTCATACATTCCCAAAGCCTGCATATGATTTCTGTGTTTATTGAACTGTTAGAAAGTATTTATAAACAATAACAAAATGTAACGTTAAGGACTGATTATATAGATTTAGTCTCACCAATGAGTAGTTAGTCTTTGAGTGACCTTATCGCATGAATACGCCTCCCTGTAAAATTAAGTGATAAGTGATTGTTAACCTCAAATTGAAACTACCAAGGAAATCTTTAAACTCCATTTGCACGGTATACCTCATCATCATTAAACCTCTAGTATCTAAACAAAGCCGAAATGCATATTGTGTGTATGTTGTGTGCGGTGGTGTGGTTGGTTCCCGACTTTTTTTGACGTATTTATACCACAATCGAAGACGTGTTTTGTAATTTCATGAAGTATTACCCAATGGTTAATACAAAGTAGCATGCAATGTTTTTAATGATGACATATCTGAAAGACAACATATTGTCGAGTAATAATAGCCATATGTTTGTTTTGGGTAGTTTCAAATGCTTGAGAAATTCGTACATCAAAATCCCAGACAATATTCCTACTTTATTACTTTAACGTACTACGTATATTATAAAGAAAAGTACATCAATTGTGCCAGTAGGCAATTGGCTTTCTCAAAGATATGCAACTAATGCTACTTTAGCAGTTTGATACGCCATAAATCTAACACAGCAAATGAACTATTCACACTACCCATCCCGTAGCTCTCTTTTGAGTCGCAATAGCTGAATGGTTAAATAAACTGAAGGGTATTATCCAAATCTAAACCCTTTTTCTATGAAGCATTAAATGCTCTATGCGGAGCCTATTTCAAATTTCAAATTAAGAACAAAACAGTCACATCCATTGTACAGAGCAGTAAATCTGGATTGAGACAGCAATGTTGATCTTTTCTCTTGAACCGACCCGACCCATGGTGTTGCTGGTAGTTTGGGCGGGAAAAATGAACTCTTTTCTCCTGCTTTTATATAGAGAAAGATACCAGAGAACATGTTTACCCGTCTTCCATTCGATAAAAAGAACATACGGAATATATTTTTCTAATATTTTATACGTAGTATTGGGAGAAGCAAAACTTAAAATTTCATTAATTATAAATATTTATACATACATACATGAGACAAATTTTCTTGGAGGGCCGAGACCCCGCCAGCCACCCCCTATCTCCACCTGTGGTTCAAGGT